TTGAAGCCCGAGTAGTAGTTTCGTATGGTGTTTCTCACACCTCCAAAAGTTGAAGCCCGAGTAGTAGTTTCGTATGGTGTTTCTCACACCTCCAAAAGTTGAAGCCCGAGTAGTAGTTTCGTATGATGTTTCTCACGCCTCCAAAAGTTGAAGCCCGAGTAGTAGTTTCGTATGATGTTTCTAACACCTCCAAAAGTTGAAGCCCGAGTAGTAGTTTCGTATGGTGTTTCTCACACCTCCAAAAGTTGAAGCCCGGCCACGTGGTTAGGGCACTCGACTCTGCGGGTCGCGGGTTCGAGTCCCCGTCACACCAAAACATGATCACCCGGTGTCCGGACTAGGACGCCAGTCCTACTCTCGGATACTCACCTCCAAAAGAATTTGGAGGTGTTAGAAACACCTTACGAAACTACTACTCGGGCTTCAACTTATGGAGGCGTGAGAAACATCATAAGAAACTACTACTCGGGCTTCAACTTTTGGAGGTGTGAGAAACACCATTCGAAACTACTACTCGGGCTTCAACTTTTGGAGGTGTGAGAAACATCATACGAAACTGCTACTCATGCCGGACCACGTAGGATGTTTGAGACGTGGCTACAAAATACTTGTTTTAACTTTGTGATTTTTGTAAACACAATTGATATTGTAATAGTGACGACAAACTCTAAAAACGGGAGGACCCAAGCAGTGATTTTCCTGCTTAAGTTCGGCACTGGTTTTTAATAAGAGAGAAAGACGTCAGAGTTGGGTGTTTGATCAACATTTTGAAACAAAACATAAAAAAGTAGGAACTCGGTTCTTTTTTTGATTTTGTACATCCATGTTTTATTATTTGAAAATGATGAAATGTATTTGTTTTTACATACTGATATGTGCTGCTAGGTTAAGCTTCTGTTAACAACGAAATCGCAACACTGCATTAGTAGTCATAAAGGGGGGGGGGGTTAACTCATCACATTAGGACTAAAAACATTCAGCATAATGTCTAGAGTTCGATAGATTACTGAATACAGAGCAGAAACACTAAAGTTATTGAGTATCAAACGGTATTTTAAAAAATCGGTAATTGTTATGATATGATGACCATTGGCTCCGAGGGATTATAATGCTAAAAACTGAGTTTAGATATCCGCAGTGGGCGGTACACAGATAGCCCGTTGTTCACCTTTACCTTTGTGCTTAACAACAAACAAACAAAATCAGTCGATGCAATATGAGGGCCCCACGAGTATCAAACGGTATTTTAAAAAAATCGGTAATTTTTAGTAATGGTCATTTTGGTTAATTTTAACTCGGTAGCTTATGGCTCGTGTAGTAAATAAATGCGTTACGTTATATAATGGTTCTTGTTTTCATCACATTTACAAGAATGAAACATTTAATAACTCGGTGTATTTCGTATAAACAATACATGAAGCCATTTGATTGAAAGGACCTTTTTTTCTTTTCGTAGAATTGGAAGAAAGCTGACGTTCTACATTTGTGTGGCTGTGACTGTTGTGTCGGGGGTGGTGTCGATGACTGTCTCCAATTTTACAGTATTTGCTGTGTTCCGGCTAATCAACGGATTTCTATATCCAACCATCTACCAAGCATCGTATATCGTGTGTGAGTTAGACATTTTAAAAGAAATTCCGGAAAACTCAGAATGTACTGAGGCAATCAAAGCATTGTTGTAAACGTTACCATGGCGACCTATAATATTGCTTTTTTTCCTTTGATACGAGTATAAATGTTGCCATGACAAAATGGAGCATTTCACACGCGCCAATGAGAGCGGTGAGGGGTCTGAACGAAGCCAGAAAAAAAACCCTGTACCAATAGACAAAATATACCAAACGTTCAACCAATCGGATAAATCCTGTTGTAAATCCTCTCCACACTGACATATGCAGACAGATGGGTTCCACATAAAAACATATGTCACTTGTGGTGGACCATAAAATGGCATATGCTGCATCTCAGAAAGTTGGGCAAGGAACCCTGATCAGTGTGATAAGAGTAACAGTCATAACCTTATTGCGGTATGGAACCTTTTTGTGTGCATCAGTGTGCCGTGAGAATAGCGCTACATCCTGTAACACTTTAGAGTTTTGTCTTGATTTGAGCAGCAATGTTACAAGACAAAGGATTCTAGCCAGACAGTTACCACTCGAAGAAACCGCGGCCATATCAGAACTTTATAGAGAAGACAGACGAAGCCGAAGTAAACGGTCAAGTAATGGATCAGTGTGTCCAGGCAGATGGCATTATGTTAAACACCATAACAATTGGTAGTAGGCTATGGAAGTCAGGACTGGTCAACACAATCAACGATATGGAATGGATATACGAGAAGAGAGAAACGCTAATCAAAGTTCAGTCAAGACAGATGTGGCTGGACGAGCAGGAGTAATATGAAAATATTACCTTCTTGGGTTTTATTGGTCACTAACTCAAACTGGTGAATCCAGAACACTCCAGTCATCAAGTATCGCATGTTTATTTTAAATACTGCGTTAGGCACAGTGTATATAGCCCATTGTGTAGCTTTGCGCTTAGAAACAAAACAGTAAACACTTCTAAACAAGTCGTATATTATAAATGTCAGTTTCATAATGGTCGTTATGCTTGGGAAAAGAACACACTAGCTTTAAAACATAACTGGTTAAGCCTTTTTTAAACTCCACTTTTTGCTAGATTCGTGTTTTATTTGGTAGCTTTCTAGATTTGCTACACCAGAAGAGGCAAAATATCAGGTTTCACGATATTTCTGCGTGCAAGAAGTACCAAGTACCAGTTGCTTTCTGAGTTTTCAAAATCTAAACTATGATTCGTTATATGCACGTGGTGATGATACACCCGTTTAATATTTATGTTGAAGTCTGAAACAATTTAATATTTTTTACGGAAAAAATGTTTGGATGAAATGATCAGGAAGTAAAAGAAAGTAAAATATTTACCTCGTTTCTTTACTTACTGTTTACAGTGTGACTGTTAGAAACATAAATCTCATTTTTGTTGTTGTTATTTCATAGTTTATTTAGTAACTATAATAAAACATTTATTTACAGTGGTTGAAATCATTGGTGTAGAAAAACGTACGAGAATGCTGGCTATGGGATGCGTTTCGTGGACATTGGGAATATGCATTTTGCCACTTTTGGCCTTTCTTTGCACAAGCTGGAGAATATTAGGACTTGTAACTACTTTCTCCTGCATTCCATTCTTTCTCTACTGGAGGTAAGCTTCTCA